ACATCACTGAATTTGTTATATTCTGTCTTTGATGTTGTATTTTGCCTTAGATATTGCATTTCTTTTGAAAAGTTTCTTGCTAATTTTGTAAATTTTGCCAACTTTGCACTAAACAAGATGTTGCAATTACCCAGAAAAGCACCTACTAAAACTTTGCTAAAAGGACTGGTATCAAATACCCTGTGAAATAATTTTGGAGGAAAACTAACATTGAAGGTGGTTTCAAAACGTGTGCCCACTTGCACCATTTTTTCGTACAATTCCCCATATGTTTTCTAAAAATTGAAAAGAAGCAACTGAGCTGAAAGTTCAACAGGTTATTTGTTAAGCACCCTACTCAAGAGTTTGAGCAATTTTGTTGCTTCAAACACAAAAATGCACACAAGCAAATAATCATATGTACCTTTAAATAAGCATTACACTGTAAACTGTGATTGGCTGTAGAAACTCTAAAAACAAGTAATGCAAAATTTACAATCAGGAAATACAACAATGAAAAAAACCCGGAAATATACCCCTTCATGAGCAAAAAGACAGCTGATTTACCAAAAATGCACACAAAGCAAATGATTCTCCATACCTTCAAATGAACTCTAAAGTAAACTGTATATATTATGCTGTTTGTGATTTGGTTGTAGAAAACTCTAATAAACAAGTTATGCACAATCTGCAATCAGAAATAAAACACTTGAAAAAACCCTGAAACAAACCCCTAAAATCAGAAATATACAGCTGCTTTTGCATCTGTTAAAGGTCAAATTTGGAAAGGGATGGCAAAATCTACATGGAAGCGAAAAAGCCATATTTTTTTTCTTTCTCTATTGAAATCAATGTACTGCTTGTGATACCTCTAGTTAGGAAATTGTTGTTGTAAAAAGTTGTTAGGAAGGTAATATATGATTAAGATTTTTCAGACATGGAGAAATAATATTTTGGTTATTTTTTTTAATATAAAATGGAGAAATAATATATTTTACACCTTTTGGATCATATTTTAGGATAAATCAAAAGTCAACTTTTGCACAAAGTGATTGTGATTTTTCGAATCAGGATACAGGAAGCAAGTTCCCATCCCCAGGCTTACTACTGGAAACGAGGTTCAAAATAAAGTAAGCCCTGGGCACGAAGTTGGAGCTGGATAGCTCAGTTGGTAGAGCACAGGAACGGCAATCTGGTGGCCACAGGTTCAAACCCTGCTCAAGTAAATTTTGCTGTTCAACTTTAAGGTTATAAGTTAGTTTTCATTTGTTGCTTATTTGAAAAATGACTTTGATATTCTTCAGCCAATTTCCAAAACGTTTCCTTAATTGTTGGTTGGTCAGTTATTTTTAGTACTGTTTGCTCATTTTTTCAACAGTATATTGGGTAAACACGTGGTTTTTTTTCAATTTTCAATTTTCAACAAGTACATGTACAGCTCGTCCCAAGACACCAAAAAAATTTTTTTCAATACTGTAGCCTCGCTGCAGGAACACATCGCCATTATTTTTGTACCATTTTAAAGCTTAGAATCTTAATTTTATCCCTGGCGAGTATTGGTTTGATATTTATCATAGTTTATTATTAATTATTCATGTTCAAATAAAGGCATGTCAAAAACAAATTCAACTGATTTCAAGGGAACCAATGATGCTGTACATCAGATGCAATTATTATGTCAGTAAAAGTACCCGGATGAGGACAATATCATCCGGGCATATTAACAAATGTTAACAATCATGAGCATAGAAACTCATATTTGTCAACCAGTCAACAGAGTGCCAGGCGCGGTACTGTCGCATGTGGACTGTTGTCAACGACCACAATGGCAGCTTCGAGCGGCGAGAAATGTGCCAGAATAAAGACAGTGTCCTGAAATTAATTTTTTTTGCGGATAATTCAGCCTGATATAAATAATAATTATAATATTGGATGGCTTTTTTTTCAAGGGATACAAGAATACATTGTGTAACGGGCCAAGCAGGCCAGGGCGTGGCGGGGCTACTAATTAAAACAACAACCAAAGAAAACACACGGTGAGGAAGACAGAATTCGGGGGGCACCTCCCAGATTTTAGGTTGATAATTTACGCAATAACTATTTACAAAGATAAACCAAGAGTAAATTAATAAAAGCAGATAAATATAATATTGGGTGAAACTTACAAAGTAAAAAAACCAGTGCAGTGGCGTGGCTGGAGGAAAGCAAACTGAACCTCAACATAACAGTGTGACAAAGAAAATAAAAGAATGACCAACGCCCTATTGCGCGCACCGGCCTTATAAACCCATAAGGTGCACCCGACCAGAAAAGGTATCAAAGGAATGCAAAATATGTTTGGAACTTAACCGCTGTGTTGCACGTGGCGAACAGAGTCTTTGTTACAATTGCTTTCACTATTCGATGAGTGCCATATTGGGTTTTTCTTCCCTCGGATTATTAACACAGAGATATCAGACAACACTCCAGGCAAAATTTTGTAAGCCACCTGGTGTTCTGTATTATAAGCAGACAAAAGAATTGGAGACAATTTCAAACCCGTATTTGTCCGTTGGAGGCTGAGACAAATGTGCGCTGCCAATTTCTAATTGGCCTAGATCACCCCATTTCTTGCAACCTAAGCTCTTTGCGTGCAATAGTTATAGCTATAGGGACGAGCTTGAATTTCAAACCTAAAACTAGGCGGTTAATTTGATATTCATGCTTATAAGTAATTTGACCTTTTAGTGTTACAATGTATTAAAGAACCCATGTTCTCATGGAAACCATAAGCCAAAATGTCATCAGCTAAAAGCAATACTGTCTCAGGTATAATATAACGGTGTTCAATGATCATAAAGTTTACTTTGTCAAGCATTAATTGCTGCAATCCTTGAAGCATTTTACTATCCACTTTAGTGACAGAAGGTTTTAAAAGCCATGATGAATTTTTAAAGACCACTCCTACCTTTTAGATGCATTAGTTGTCAAGGGAACAATATATCATGTTGATATGGAGAGACCTTAAGGTACAATGGCATTTATTAATTATGAATCCAAAGGACCAAAATATTAAGTCCTTGATGTACATGTAGGGACCTACAGTATACTCAGGAGAGGTTTTTCAAATAGTGTGAGAATGCAAGCATTGAAAGGGTGGACCTCAGGCGAGACCTCGTAGATTATCCAAAACAAAATGAAAGTGCTGGTTGTTCTACTTCTCATGGTTGGGTTTGAAGCCGGTGTTGCGACCATCTGCTCGGTGGGATGGTACCGATATGGCAATGCCTGCTACTTTGTGATAAAAGAAAAGCTGGGCTGGCTTGTGGCAAACAATATTTGTGCCGCTTCTCATGCAAGCCTTGCAGTTCCCAACTCATTGGAGGAACAGACATTTATCAAGGAATTACTCCAACGGGAGTTTCATCCTGATGGTCCAGGGACTGGAGTCTGGATCGGTTGCAATGACATTGACAAGGAAGGTGATTGGCAGAACTGTCCTCTGAGAGGTGATGAGACCAACGCGTACCAGAACTGGGGGGGAAGGGAAGCCTGACAATCGGCACAGTGGAGCTGATTGTGCATTGATGGGCAATTGGGGGAATGGCATATGGGATAACCAGTTATGCACTAATCCAAGATATGCTACATGTGAGCTTGCTATCATCGACTACAACCCTCTATTCTGCTTTCAGATCGGCTCCAATGGTCGCATCACCTCCCCGTGCCTCACTGATAATCACATCTTGATGGAGTTACAGGCTCAGGGTCTGGTGTCTTGTGGCAAGGCCTGCCTCTCTCATCCCAAATGTAGCTCCTTCAATCTGAAGGACCACGGCCAGGGCAAGATGGTGTGCCAGCTGAATGACCTCACCCTTCAAAATGCAGCTGCCGAAGATGTGGTGGAAATTGAGAACTGTTACGGCCTGGATCTGTAGAAACTGGTTGCATGAAGCAAACTGATACCAAAAAGTCCATCAGACTGCTCTTATGTACAGGTAGATGTGGCTGACATTTTTAAGGTTAACACAAAGGGCAGTGGTGGCTTAAATTTACATGGCTGATAGTGAATAACCTTTTTTTGTGGAATAATTTTTGTGAACTGCTAAGACTTTGGAAGGGATTACAATATCAGGAACACCCACAATAGTCTGTCAGTACAAAATATTTATTAGTGTTGGCTGGGACTGGCATAAAAATATAAATGGTAATTTTTGCATTGTAATTTGAATTCTGATAATTGCCTATACAGCAGGACTTCAACATCATCATTTTCCAAATTTTTTTTATACATGTAGGATGTCTGACAAATGATGATGTTTTGAGAACAACTTTTCTGTCCAAAGATGTCTCTTTACTGAATTATAGTCTTGCAGTAGCTGCAAGAGCAGACATTATCAGAAACATTACGGAAGTGTTCTGCTCTCATAATTGAATTTGAAACCAGAATATCCCCACCTCATTACCCTTTCTTAACGTGTTGTGAAGCATACTGCAGGCATTAGACCTATTCAAAAAAATAGAGTCGTCTCCAAATACGAATGTCCTCCAATTAGCTACGATTACAAAATGCCGGGGACGTTTTGTTCTCAGCACGTGCTCCCCACCTTGGAAGAAAACACATCTTCACTAACAATTCCACCCTGGTCCAACAAAGCGTGTCCCTGAATTATCACCACACAGCCATCAGGCAATTGATTCAATTCCACATCTTGCACGGACTGTTATAAAGCCACCAATTATTCAGACTACGTTTGACATGAAGTGACCACAGAAAACAACACGTACATGTAGTTTTATCAAATTACTTGCTAAATTTTACCTTTTGATTGGGCTGGCTTTTTGCTTTTGTCAAATACTTAACGCCTCACTATATTTCATGTCCTTATAAAGGGAGGGTTACTAGTTGCAAGTACCATTTGAAATTGGGATGTGAATTGATGTTTACCACACTAGAGACGATAAGCGACACTGAATCAATCAAAAAGAAGAGACAACCAGTTTATTATATCTATCCCATAAAGACATCAGGCAGATACATCATGGATGTATTTGGCATACTTCTTCTCTTCATTGGGAGTGCAGCCAGCATTGCAACGATCTGTCCTGTTGGTTGGCACCGATATGGAAAGGCTTGCTATTTTGTGATCAAAGAACTAAAGAATTGGCACAAAGCAAAAACCATCTGTGCTGCTTCTCATACAAGCCTTGCACTTCCCAACTCATTTGAAGAACAGACATTTATATGGGAATTACTCCAGCGGGAGTTTTATCCCAGCGACTTTCAGAAAGGAGCCTGGATCGACTGCGATGACATTGACCAGGATGGTGTTTGGCAGAATTGCCCTCTGAGAGGTGATGAGACCAACGCGTACCAGAACTGGAGGGAAGGAAATCCTGGCAATCAGTACAGTGGAGCTGATTGTGCATTGATGGTCAATTCAGCGGGTGGCAAATGGAGCAATCAGTACTGTACCAATCCCAGATATGCAACGTGTGAGCTTGCTATCACCAACTACAACCCTCTATTCTGCCTTCAGATCGGCTCCGATGGTCGCATCACCTCCCTGTGCCTCACTGATAACCACGTCTTGATGGAGTTACAGGCTCAGGGTCTGGTGTCTTGTGGTAAGGCCTGCCTCTCTCATCCCAAATGTAGCTCCTTCAATCTGAAAGACCAAGGCCAGGGCAAGATGGTGTGCCAGCTGAATGACCTCACCTTTCAAAAGGCAGCTGCAGAAGATGTGGTGGAAATTGAGAACTGCTACGGCCTGGATCTGTAGAAACTGTTTGCATGAGGGAAAATCTGTTGATGCAATGCTCTGCCGTACAGTGAATGTGGCTGACATTTCAAAGATGAATACAAAAGGCAGTCGTAGCTTATATTTTTACAGCTGAGAGTGAATGACTATTTTGTGGGAGACTTGTTATGAACTGATAAGATTTAAGAAGGATTTACAATATAATATCATGAACACTCGCGATATAGTCTATAAGTACAAAATATATTCATTAGTGAATGTAGTGACTGGTATAAAAACATTAACAGTGCTTTTTGCCTACATGTAGTAATTTCAACTGTTTTTGTTGTTAAGATAGATAGGCTTTTGATTGGCTGAAATATATGGGTTCAAATTATAAGTCCAAAAGTAGCCCTTTTTTGCATACAACCTTTGATTTTTTCATCATGCAAAAAAGGGCAAAAAAGTGCACATCAACAATTGCAATTGGCATCAGTTTTAACAGTGTTGTGTGTTGTGTGATCAAGAAGACAAAAATGTAGTAGGCAGTCATATTTTACACTGAATGTGTAGCTGTTTGAATGGCAGAACCCTGCAGAAGAAAATAACTATTTCAGATTCATTTGTTGCAATAATTCTACCTATTTAATTAATGCACTAAATGCATTTACAATTGTCTGTAAATAGTGGAAAGCAAATATGTGGTTATTATTTTTTTGTAATATAATTCTAAAACACCAAATGACATCACAGGGAAATCAATTTTTTTTTTGATATAGAGTTACACATGCGCATTATCAAATATTAAATGTGTTAAGAATCGAGTGGGTTTAAAAACTTCAAAATCTGTTTCCAAAAAAAAAGTATTATTTAGCATGCAGACTCACATCTAGCCATATACCATCAGATTCTCAGTTCTCTAGATACTCAAATTGTTTTTACACTGATAGGATGTGACATATTATGGAAAATATGACATCAGGGTTTGAGGTACTGTTTTAGCATAGGGTCTTTGTCTACACCAAGTTTCATTAAGATATAAAAGAATGGGGAAGTGACAATATACATAAAACAGTGTACAATGTCTGTTGGGGAAACCAATGGGCATTTTAAATTCAGTGTGAAGAAAAGCTTCTATAATCACAAAGATCAACTGTGAAAATTATTGGCTATTTTTAGGTGCTGGTAACAAAAGACTGTCGAAATATGCAATATTCCCAATGGTGTAATCAACTGCCAATTAGACAACAGCCAAAGCGGCGTTGTCAGGGAAACTAACTGGTAGCAATCCCTCACTTTGATTGCTTTGTGCATTCAAATGAGAAGGGTAAGCCTCTTTCATTTCGCGTTCTGAAACCGTCAGTTGATGTTATTTCCATGCGAAACATGTTGTGGTTCTACACTCAAAATTCAGTTGCAATTACTGGCAGAAAAGCTGAGCAATACTGAGGCTATCCTAAAAAACTATATATCCGTACACCTGAACATTCCTAATCATCAGAAACAGCATGGATGTGTTGAGTGTACTGCTTCTTATGGCTGGATTTGAGGCCAGTGTGGCGACTGTTTGCCCAGTGGGCTGGCACCGATATGGAAAGGCTTGCTATTTTGTGATCAAGGAACTAAATACTTGGTACAAAGCAAAAAGCATCTGTGCTGCTTCTCATGCAAGCCTTGCAGTTCCCAACTCATTGGAAGAACAGACGTTTGTATGGGAATTACTCCAGCGGGAGTTTTATCCTGATGGTCCAGGGAATGGAGCCTGGATTGGCTGCAATGACATCGAGAAGGAAGGTGATTGGCAGAATTGCCCTCTGAGAGGTGATGATACCAACGCTTACCAGAACTGGAGTGAAGGAAAGCCTGACAATTGGCACTTTGCAGCTGATTGTGCAATGATGGGCGATTGGAGGAAAGGCGAATGGGGTGACCAGTTCTGCACCAATCTTAGATATGCAACATGTGAGCTTGCTATCATCGACTACAAGTACGACCCTCTATTCTGCCTTCAGATCGGCTCTGATGGTCGCATCACCTCCCCGTGCCTCACTGATAAGTGATAATCATGTCTTGATGGAGTTTCAGGCTCAGGGTCTGGTGTCTTGTGGCAAGGCCTGCCTCTCTCATCCCAAATGTAGCTCCTTCAATCTGAAGGACCAAGGCCAGGGCAACATGGTGTGCAAGCTGAATGACCTCGCCCTTCAAAATGCAGCTGACGAAGATGTGGTGGAAATTGAGAACTGCTACGCCCTGGATCTGTAGAAACTGGTTGCATGAAGCAAACTGATACCAAAACAGTCCATCAGACTGCTCTTATGTACAGGTAGATGTGGCTGACATTTTTAAGGTTAACACAAAGGGCAGTGGTGGCTTACATTTACATGGCTGATAGTGAATAACCTTTTTTGTGGAATAATTTTTGTGAACTGCTAAGACTTTGGAAGGGATTACAAAATCAGGAACACCCACAATAGTCTGTAAGTACACAATATTTATTAGTGTTTGCTGTGATTGTCATCAAAATATTAATGGTAATTTTTGCACTGTAATTTGAACTGTTTGTGGTAGAAATATTTAGGAAATATTGTGTGGTAAATATAAACATGTCCTCATTTTTTGGTATATTAAAAAAAAAATGGCATAAGAGGACACTAACTTTGTGAACGGCAACTGTTTCAAAATTGTGTGTTGGGATCACTACGAGGAGAACATAATGATCACTCAAATTTATTGCACTTTTTAATGTTACCTTTTAACAAGGAATCTGGAAAAGAAATAGTCAATATGGTTTAATGTTGTTGGACTAAATGATACCTATTAAAAGTAGGTTTTTATTACACCGAACGTGTAATCTTTGTTTCCCATGTTGTAAAAAGAAAATGTTTGATAATTTGGTGTATACTCATGAGTCATGACAAATTACCAAATAATAAAAGTAATAATGAACACTTGGTAAAGCGCCAGTATCCGCCAGGCATTACGATCATGGCGCATGTATACAAAGAAAAACATAAATTACAAAAACAACGAAGAAGCAAACGGATTTTGAAGGATGTTAAACATGGAAAACATGTTTGACTTACTCTAACCACAACATGAACAAGAACACTACATCACTGAATTTGTTATATTATGTCTTTGATGTTGTATTTTGCCTTAGATATTGCATTTCTTTTGAAAAGTTTCTTGCTAATTTTGTAAATTTTGCCAACTTTGCACTAAACAAGATGTTGCAATTACCCAGAAAAGCACCTACTAAAACTTTGCTAAAAGGACTGGTATCGAATACCCTGTGAAATAATTTTAGAGGAAAACTAACATTGAAGGTGGTTTCAAAATGTGTGCCTGCATGCACTATATTTTCGTACAATTCCGCATATGTTTTCTAAAAATTGTAAAGAAGCAACTGAGCTGAAAGTTCAACAGGTTAATTGTTAAGCACCCTACTCAAGAGTTTGAGCAATTTTGTTGCTTCAAACACAAAAATGCACACAAAGCAAATAATCATATGTACCTTTAAATAAGCATTACACTGTAAACTGTGATTTGGCTGTAGAAACTCTAAAAACAAGTAATGCAAAATTTACAATCAGGAAAAACAACAATGAAAAAAACCGGAAATATACCCCTTCATGAGCAAAAAGACAGCTGATTTACCAAAAATGCACACAAAGCAAATGATTCTACATACCTTCAAATGAACTTTAAAGTAAACTGTATATATTATGCTGTTTGTGATTTGGTTGTAGAAAACTCTAATAAACAAGTTATGCACAATCTGCAATCAGAGATAAAACACTTAAAAAAATCCTGAAACAAACCCCTAAAATCAGAAAAAATACAGCTGCTTTTGCATCTGTTAGGCCTAAAGGTCAAATTTGGAAAGGGATGGCAAAATGTACATGTAAGTGAAAAAGCCATATTCTTTTTCTTTCTCTATTGAAATCAATGTACTGCTTGTGAAACCTCTAGTTAGGAAATTGTTGTTGTAAAAAGTTGTTAGGAAGGTAATATTTGATTAAGATTTTTCAGATGACATAAAAACAAATTACAAAATGGAGAAATAATAGTTTTTACACCTTTTGGATCATATTTTAGGATAAATCAAAAGTAAACTATTGCACAATGTGATTGTGATTTTTCTAGAAAACAATTTGCTTATTTAAAAGTATTCTAGAATATTGCTTCAATGTTTCACTAATAGAATGTATTTTTTGCCTTTGCATTAATAGTTACTGAACTGACATTTTAGATTGACTTGTAAATCCAGTGAATCATGAAATCAAAATAAATGTGATTGATGTGAAAATATGAATTCAATCTTGAGGTGATTGAACTTTGATTGGCATAAAATTGCATTTCTAAAATTAACGACGTCCAGAAATAAAATTTCATGGCTGAGTTGCCAAAACAGTGTTTAAGTCATTCTGGGAAAGAAAATGCAATTTTTTTTTTAAAGTCGAAACATGAGTTTTCAGAATCTCCATAACAAAATATTGTTTTTAAAGACATGTAGAAACACTTGTAATTGACCAGAAACAAACCTACTGATTTAATGAGAAGTACTTGGCATACTGCTTCTCTTCATTGGCAGTGTCAAATGGCCGGTCTTAAACGCTTGATAAAACACCCGCTGGCTAGTCTTTCACACTTTTTCAGGGTCAAATGAAATTTGGACTCCTATGAAGTCTGGTCCCTTCTGCGCAATACTACCAATGAGTCCGTACATGTATTTCGAGGATCCTAAATTTACACTGCACAAGCACCGCTGCATTCTGCACCACATCACGAAGTATGCACCACAACCGTGTCGATATCTCCATATAAGGAGTTGTTTACGACTAGTCACGAGAAAAACATGAAGTAAAATTGTTGAACAAAATCATTTGAAATTTATCATTTTTGCTTTTGGACCGAAAAGGTATCAATGAATGGGAACAAATATGATTGGCCGGTATTAATTAAACAAGTTTGTTTAACACCGGCATGGGGCCTGGTTGCCAATATTGGCTCGAGCTGAACATCAGCGTCCATTCACGACACCGG